CCGCCGGGGCCGCGGCACGCCCCGCGGGCGTCCCCATTGGCCGGGCTGGCCGCCGCGCAGCCCGACGGGGACTTCCGGCACCACCCCGGAAGTCCCGGTCGGGCTCCCGCTTCCGCCTCACTGGGGCAACATGGCCGCCGTCTTGTCCCCAGAAGTCAGTGACAAGCGAAATCAGAGCCTAGCTCTCCTAGGTTTTCCACCGTCTTCTCGAAAGCCCAGACTTCGTACGGTGGCCTCGGGGCTCCGCCTGCCCTCCAGGCTGACTTCCTCAGGTGGCCCCGCCCCTGCGCCCCAGCCTCCTGCCGCCCCGCCCCAGGACGGGGGTCTCTGCCTCGACACTGTTGATATGGGGGCGGACAGTTCTTTGTCGTGGGGGCTGTCCTGTGCTTCCGAGGACGGTCAGCGGCGTCCCCAGCCTTTGCTCTCCGCTAGATGCCAGTTCCACCCCTGCTCCCCAGTTTTGACGACCAACAGTGTCCCTAGACATTCCCGAGTGTCCCATGGGCAGCAAAGTCGCCCCCACTGAGAACCTCTGACCTAGGACAAGCCAGGCCCAGGCCCTGTGTCGTTGTCACATGGCTGGCTTCCCGTTTTCCTTCGACCCTCAGCTCAAGTGTTGACTCCTTGTAAGCCTTTCTTGACCAGGCCATCTCCAGTGGCTCCCACCCCCATCCCACTGCCCTGTTTTAGTTTCTCCATAGCACCTGCCACGTGTTTCGTTTATTGCTTTGTCTCCCCAGCTTGTATGCGGTCCCCACAAGTATAAGGTCCATGGTGGCAGGTTCTTGGGTGTCCTGTTCCTCACCGTGTCCCTGGCACCTGCCAACTGCCTGGCACCTGGTGGGGTGGAAGAGGGTCCTCCAAAAACAGACCCCAGCATCGCTGCAGAAACTGGGACCACGCTGCAATGATTGAATTAGTGGGAGGCCATTTCCTCTTCCTTTCTCCATCCTTCACTCCAGCTAAGACCAGGATGGAGCCGTCAGCTGGGAAGTGGGCTTGCCTGTGGGTCATCCGGGTAAGTAGTCCTTCCAAAAAGGCTTGAAGTAGCATGTACTATTAACTTTTGCATTTTCCTACGTCTGACCTCTAGACTGATGCCCAGCACTGTGCTGGCACAGGGCAGGCAGTAGGTAAATATTTAATATTTAAGGAGAGAATAGTTCATGCCAGAACAGGACTTTCGCCACCCTGCCTGTTGCTCTTGGTCCTCTTCAGCTGTCAGCTCAGAGGTCACTTTCCTGATCCTCCCAGATTAGATCAGCTCCTCTTTTTATAGGTGATTAGAGCATGCTCTGCTTTTCTCTTCACAGCACCCATTATAATTTATAATTATTTATTTTGTGAAACATCTCTCTCTTCAAAGGCAGGAGGGCAGAGATTTTGCTTGTTTTGTCCCCTGCTATATACCTAGAATGTAGTGCAGTACCTGCCAATGATAAATATTTGTGGAATTAACTGAATGAGTGAATGAATACTTGTTGAATTGTAAATGGTGTCCGAAGAACATGTTATGTTCACCTATTTTTTTTTTTTTTTATATTCCTGTGGTGTTCTGCGGCATATATTTGTATGCTAAGTTCACTAAAAAACTAACCCCCCCCCCCTTGGGCCAGCCCCGTGGCTTAGCGGTTAAGTGCGCACGCTCCGCTACCGGCGTGCTGGGTTCGGATCTGGATCCGGGAGCGCACCGACGCACCGCCTGTCTGGCCATGCTGAGGCCGCGTCCCACATACAGCAACTAGAAGGGTGTGCAACTGTGACATACAACTATCTACTGGGGCTTTGGGGGGAAAAAAGGAGGAGGATTTGCAATAGATGTTAGCTCAGAGCCGGTCTTCCTCAGCAAAAAGAGGAGGATTAGCACGGATGTTAGCTCAGGGCTCATCTTCTTCACACACACACAAAAAACCAACCCCTTAAGATTCCTGCCCAGGATCACACATCGAGTAGGCACTCAGACTTAAATAAAAGACGTATAACTAATTCCTGGTGCAGTGCTTCTTCCACGCTCCAGCTGGCAGATGAGACAGAACCTTCAAGTATTTACTCTAAGACTGACAGAGCTGACACACTCAACCAAAGTGCAGAATACCATTAGCATTGAACACGGAATAAAAGTAAAGTGTTTGACTTGGATCATGCGATGACTTGGCACTGAAGCCCTGCCCAGTACAGGTGTGCCATTTCCCATGGCAGCCAGCTAACTCAGTTGGATTGTCTCCGTTAAGGAGCCTAAAGCTTGGGCCGGCCCTGTGGCTTAGCAGTTAAGTGCGCACGCTCCGCTGCTGGCGGCCTGGGTTCGGATTCCGGGCGCGCACCGACAGACTGCTTCTCCGACCATGCTGAGGCCACGTCCCACATACAGCAACTAGAAGGATGTGCAGCTATGACACAACTATCTACTGGGGCTTTGGGGGAAAAAAAAAAGGAGGAGGATTGGCAATAGATGTTAGCTCAGAGCCGGTCTTCCTCAGCAAAAAGAGGAAGATTAGCATGGATGTTAGCTCAGGGCTGATCTTCCTCACAAAAAAAAAAATAAATTAAAAAAAAGGAGCCTAAAGCTAAGTGAAAGAAAGGGAGGGGAGGCGGTTTCAGAGATTAGGATGTACCCTGAGGAGTTTTGAGCAGTTGTTCTTGGTCCTGGGGAGGTCTGTTGTGCACTGCAGTCTCTGATACCCTGAGGGTGCAAAACAAAGCCAGCAGGCAGAAATGTTTGGGTTTGGCTGCAGTGTTTAAAAAAAAAAAGAGCCAAGACCACATAATGCAAGATTCCATCTCTTATGAAATGTCCAAAATAGGCAAATCTGTAGAGAAAGAGTGCAGATTGGTGGTGTGGTTGCCAGGTGCTGGGGGGATGGGAAGACGGGGAAGTGACTGCTAAAGGGCATGGGGTTTCTTTTTGTAGTGATGAAAATGTTCTAAAATTGATTGTGGTAGTAGTTGCACAACTCTGTGAACATACTAAAAACCACTGAATCGTACACTTTCAATGGAAGAACTATATGGTATGTGAATTATGTCTCAGTAAGGCTCTTGCCAAAAAAATGAGCTAAGGGTTAAAAATTGGGAGGTTTCACGTATCAATTTGGATGCCCTGTTGCTGTTCAAAGAGTAAACTGGAGCTCTGGCAGCACTGGGACTTGCGGATGCCTGTTACACCAGTGACCACCTCCTACTCTGCTTGAACCACATCTCTGGCACTTGTGCCTTTACGTACTCTTCATAGGTCACCGTCCTGCAGGGCTGGCTCTGTGGCTTGCTTTGGTGAGGAGAATGTGGCAGCAGTGTTCCTGGGCCAGGTCTGGGCCTAAACCGTAAGAAGTTCTGGCAGCTTCTCGTTTTGTGCCTTGGGAGCCCTGAACCACCATGTGAGAAGTCCAGCTGCCTGGCTGGAGAGGTCACACGTGGAGGGAGACTCTGCAGCTGCGTGGAAAGGGGGTCCCATTGCCCCAGCCTCCCAGCCAACCTGCGAGCTGAGTGAAGCCACGCACATAACCGCCAGCAAGACCAACAGAAAAAGTGCCCAGCTGAGCCTCAACCCAGATTGCAGAATCGTGAACAAATAAAACAGTTGATTTTAACCTGCTAACTTCTGGGTAGGTTTGTTGCGCATCATCAGGTAATGAAAGCACACCTGCTTCCCCCATGGCCACTCTCTGATGACACCAGGGAGCAGCTGCTGTCTTTAGGTGGGGCACACAAATCCTCCCCATGCTCTGTTGTCTTATTTTTCTTATAGTAGGGAAAGTGTTCTCTGTATCTGCTCTATCCAGTGCAGTAGCCACTAGCCACGTGTGGCTATTTGAACTTAAATTAGTTCAAATTTAATAAAATGAAAAATTCTGTTCCTCAATCATACCAACTACATTTCAAGTGCTCAATAGCCACATGTGACTAGTGGCTACCATATTGGATGGCACGGTACGTGGCAACTCCACCATTGCAGAAAGTTCTGTTGGACAGCCCTGCTCTATACTAATATGTGATTAGTGCTATTGATTGCTTATCCAATAGCCACACCCTCTTTCTCCTTCCAAACAGACTCCTGATTCTATTCAGGTGTTTGTTTGTCCTCCTCACCCCACTCCTGTCCCCAACCAGCTGCCCCTGTGGCTCAGGAGAAAGGACTTTCATCTTCATTTCTGGATCCGACTAGTCAAACCAATGCTACTCTCTCATGCCTCTTCACAGTGACGAGTTCAGGAGCCTGGACTCTGACCATCAGAACGTGAAATTCCCCTGGGGCCCAGGAGAGAACAAGGGACATAATTGGCACAGTCAGGCTGAAGGAAAGGACTCTGATTTCATGACTGCGAGAGAGAAACACTCTTCCAAACGAATCAGGAAGCCTAGAGCCCTCACTGCTGCTGGCGGCTGTTTCACAACCATGTGATGAAGCAGTTTAGGACGAAGCCAGCTTTGTGGATGGCACGGTAGAGAACCAGGGAGAAGTTAGATAACAAAAGATAATAAGGGAGAAGTTAGATAACAAAAGATAATAAATCTTATATTGTTTAAGCCACTGCGTTGGGCTTTCTGTTACTTGTAGCCAAAAGTCGCCTATTGTGATTCTACCAAAAAGTGGGAAAATAAAAGAACGAACAATAGGGAAACTGGACTTTTTTCTCATGCCTCGCCTAATTTGTCTTAGAGTTTTCTACCTGGCCCCTGTAATCAGTCGGTTTGCAGCCCCTGTACTGAGCCCCAATGATTGTACGGCTAAGGAATTGATGTAAGTCGACTCTCACCACTTGGTTGGGTATACTTGTAATACACCTTTGTTCTTGAAAGTAATTGTATGAGTCTCTGCACCTAAAATAATCAAATAAATAATTACCTGTCTCATACAGCAGGTGTCTAGGGGATGGGTAACATTGTTTTACAAAACACAGTTTTGTGGGTAGCCTCTTCACCTCAAGGGCCTTCTGGGAAAGAGGACCTTACTGCAAGGAGGCTTGCAGTGTGGACCAGAATTGGAAATGCACTGTTTGCTCTGAAATGCAGGGCCCTTCCTTCTCTGGCCCTTGTGCCTTGCTCAGTGAGTGGAGCTCAGAGAAGATGCTATCTGATGGAGTGAATCCAGAAGCCATCAGAGACGGAGGACATTTCAGGGGCCATCTAATTCCTCCAGCGTTTCTCACAACATTTCTGCTTCCTGTTTCACATCTGCCTTGCTCACCCCTTGCTGCCAGACAGTTGCAGCTGCTTATTCCCAATTTCAGCTTCCTCAAAAGGCTGGTTTCCAAGTACCCATCACAGACTTTCTGTGCCATCTGCACGTCACTGTCTCATTCAGTCAACAAATAACTGTTGAGCACCTACTCCATACGTCACGACAGCTCAGTGTCAGCTCTCATGTCCGAGGCCTCTGCTTTTCTGGTTTCCCACTTCCCTGCAGAGGGCCTCTGATAGGCCCAGCTCATCTTTATGCATCAGGCCATGGCCTAAGTCAGTAGCCATTTCAGAGCCACAGGCCCTGTCATCCATCTTTTGACTCTCCTTGGGAACAGAGAGTTGTCATAAATTCTGTTTATCTCAGGGAGGCCCTGTTGCAACAGTTCTATCTGGCTGCAGATAATCTTGGTAGAAGCAGAAAAGATAAGAAATAAAAACACAGTCCACCAGTAGAATGGAATCAGGCTTTATCTTCTTGAGCCCAAAGCAAGGCAACTCTAACCTGCCTTAGTGTGAGTTAACCCGGCTCTCAGAATGACTTGTGCTTTATTTTTATGGAGGATGTGAGAGTGTGTGGCCAGGAGGATGGGTTTTTGTTTGGCTTTTCTCAAGCCCTCGTTTTATTTGACCCTTGTGAGTAGCAGCCTCTACTTCTTGGGTTCTTTTCCTGCTGTGTTTTAGAAACCCACAAGACACCTGCAA